GATTGATGCCAAGACACACGGAGACAAAGACCCTCCCCCAGAGCCAGCTGAGAGAGACAGCCATCCCCTAGAGCTGGCCGCTGAATCCAGGCATCTAGCCTCCGAAACTGGGAGAGAATGAACCTGTGTTTGTTAAAGCCATCGCTGGTGGTATTTCTGTCGCAGTTGTTGTTGTTGTTGTTATGTGCCATCGAGTCGGACCCAACTCATAGCGACCCCTCTTTGGGTTTCTGAGGCAGTATCACTACAGAAGTAGATTGCCCCATCTTCCTTCCGAGGAGTGGCTGGTGGGTTTGAACCGCCAGCCCTCTGGTTAGCACTCAAGTGCCTTAGCCACTACGCTACCAGAGCTCCCACTAGGGAACTAAAACACCCACTTTATTAAATTGGCCCATGAGGGAGCGACTGACCTCTGTGCTCCAGAATGACTGCTCTGGCTAGCAGGGCCGGCAGCAGCAACGGGGCATCGGGCCTCACGTAGACAAAGGAGCTGAATGATCGGAGAGGATACCCTGCCCAGAAAGGACCCTCTGTGGCACGGGACGTCCCTCCGGCCTGGCCCCGTGTGCTCGTACCGCCAAGTCCCTTGTGCTAGCAGCCCAGGAGGGCTGGGTGACTTTTCTGCTGTGAGGCTGGCACATCACCATTACAGCTGTGCTTCTGTTGTCCATCCAGATTACCTCACTCACAGCCTTAAAATAGACGCGGCCTAAAGGTGCCGGCTTCTCAGTCAGAGAGGAAATGGGTGCGGAGCCAGGGGGAGGGCTCAAGGCTACACACAATTCTCCACTGTTACAGAGTGATGACTTGTCTTCTCGCCTCTTGACAGACACAGAGCAGGGACTGAAACATGAGCATAACTCAGAGCTCGGTCTCCATCACACGCTCACCCATTCATTCATCCATTCAGTATGTTAACTTACCTCCGGGACTGGCCTCACCCCTCTCAGCCTCCAAATCTTGAGCCTCCTCAGTCAGTGGCTCTGGCCTGGGACGCTGAACTCCATGGGCCACATTACCGAGCTCCCATGCCCTCTGGCTGCCAGACAGCTGGACTAATGGGCAGCAGAGGAGATTAGAAAGTGGGAGAGGAGAGAGGTCAGGGTATTCGTCCCCCTGCCCACCCCGTGCTGGGTCACGGTTGGCAGTAGTTGTGTCCTTCTGCCTGAACCTCGGAGTCCCTGGTGGTGCAGAGTTAACGTGCTGAGCTAGAAGTATCTGGTGACCCACTACCAAAAGATCAGCCATTGAAAATTTTATGGAATCCAGACTTTCTGGAGCCAAGGAGGCTGGATGAACCCCTGCAACTATTGCCCTGAAATGATCTTTCAAATTTAAAACAAAAATATCCCCTGAATTCTTAATACCAAGCAATAGTTTAGCTTAACTAGTGAAATAGCTCTGCCTTGAGTATATGCTCGTTTAAAAATGGGATCAAACTGACAAATTGAAAGGATAAATGGGAAGAAAAAGGGGCAATGAGGTTATGTTGATGGTGGAGGAATTAAGCAGCCTTGGAGGGGAGGATGGTTGTGCAACTTGAAGACGGCAGTCAACGCCACTGGCTTGCATGTGATGTTGGTTGTTGACTCAGTGTGTGTTTTACTGTGTGTATTTCAATTAAAAAGTAGGTGATTAAAAAGCAAGAAACCCTACTATGGAGCCCAGTCTATGCTGATACAAATGTATTTGTATGTTCTGTAAAAATTTGCAGATGTATAGTAGAGCTGAAAAATTTGTAGTCACTTCTTGGTCACAGCCAGCTACCCAGATGGAGTGAGTAGTTGAACCTGTGGGCTCAGGACCATAGTCACAGGGGACATCAAGCTCAATTGGCATAACACACTACACAAAACATTGTTCCACCTCCTACTTTGGTGAGTAGCGACTGGGATCTTAAAAGCCTGCAAGCAGCCATCTAGATGCAACGATGAGTCTCTCCTCATCCAGAGCAAAGAAGAATGAAGAAAACCAAAGATTCATGGAAACAATTAGTCCAAGTGACTGGTACACCATGCAATCTGCAGCCTATACGACTATGAGACCAGAAGAACTAGATGGTGCCCAGCTACCACTGTCAACCACTTGGAGGGGGATCTATGTAGGAGATCCTGGTTAGAGAGGAAGAACAATGTGGAACAAAACTCAAAATGATTTGGGAAGAAAAGGGGGGGGACCAAGTTTGTTGGTCTGATAGAGCTTGGTGGAACCACTAGGACTACAGCCCCTAGCTGCCCTTCAGGTCGGGAATTGAACACACACCTGTGGCTTACAGCCAAACAGAAAAACAGGCATATGAGTTGAGCATTTACCTGAGATAGACACATTTCTCAGAGAGAACAATCATGGGAGAAAGAAGGTCTGTTTATGCACAGGGAGACAGCTCAGGGGGCAGGAGTGCATGGAGGGATGGACATGGGGAAGAGGTAACTATCGCGAGGAAGTGGGAGGGGAGCTGTTGCATTGGGATAAATTGTAGTCAATGTCATGAGACAAAGTGTATGTGAACTGCTGTATGGAAAGTGAATTTGCTCTGTAAACTTTCACCCAAATCACAAAAAAAAAAAAAAAAGCAAGAACCCTGCTACGGAGCACAGTCTATGCTTATACACAGGGGTCACCAGGCATCAGCATCGATTCAATGGCCTCTGGTGGACATGCTGTTGAACTGTCAGTAGCTTGGAGTTGCCACAATGGGAGTATTTTCACCAGAGCAATTGGCAAGCATTACAAATCAGCACCCCACCTGGTCTACCAGGGCTCCATTGAGGTTGTCCCCACAAGTGAGAGTTTAAGATGGCTAGTGGAGTCATTTTACAAGCAGGTTATGGAATCACATGAACCTGGATAAAATTCCAGCTTCGTCACTTACTTCTGGGTGACCTTGAGCAATTTACTTCCTTCCTGAGTCTATTTCTTCAGGTGTATACTAACAACAGACAGCATGTGCTGAAAGCTCCATACACCAGGTATTTTTCTCAGCACTATATACATACTGATGTATTTATTTCCCACAACAACTCCATGAAGAAGAAACTATTGTTATCCCCACATTCTGGATGAGGAAAACCAAGACACAGAGTGATTAAGAAACTCAGCCAAGATCACACAGCTAGGCAGTGGTGGCGTTAGGATCCAAAGTCAGGCAGTTTGGTGCCAGAGCCTGCCCTTTTATCTTCTAGCCCTGTGCCGTCCAGTCCACAGCCGCCAGCCAACTGTGGCTATTGGCTCTTGAAATCTAGTTAGCCTGAGCTGAGACATACTGTCAGTGGAAAACACACAGTGGATTTCAAAGACTCAGTATCTTGAAAGGAGTCTCTTGCTAATAATTGTGATATGTATTACAAGTAGGAATGATAAGATTTCAGATGTGTTGGGTTACATAAAATACGTTATTACGATCAATCTCACCCATTTCTTTTTGCCTTTTTTTCATGGGGATACTAGACATTTTCGGATGCTTTTGCAGCTTGCCTTCCATTGCTATCGGAGAGCGCTGGTCTCCCCTGGCCTCACAGCTGAGTGTGAACGTGGAACCTGTTCAGGCAGAGAGCGCTCAGCACAGCGCCTGGGACTACGTTAGCACCAATGGCTGTTATTCAGAGTCCCTCGGTGGCACAGATAAGTGCTTGGCTATGAACCAGAAGGTTGGCAGTTCAAACCCACCCTGAAGTGCCTCAGAAGCACCCCTGAAGATCCATTTCCAAAAAACCAGGCATTGGAAACCCTGTGAAACACAGTTTATTCCAACACTCATGGGGTCTCCATGACTCACGGTCGACTCGACGGCAACAGGTAGCAATTGTTAGTATCAGTGAGGTCAGCAGTTTTCACATTTTATAGTCATTTTTGCTGTTGTTTTTCCAAAGCATTCTTATAACAAATAGAGGAAGAGTTCTGACGGAACAGAGGAGACCGCAGGGCTTCCTCTCTGATGTCCCTTCATCCTGGGGCCACCTCCGCAGGTTGGAACCCCCCACGGTTGGATAGCCATCAATGTCCCTCCACCTTTAGATTGTTGTGATGATTAGCTGTCATCGAATCTACTCAGACTCACAGAACGACACATCACCTGGTCCTGCACACCTCCAGTCATGGGTGCACCTGAGTTCACTGCTGTGGCCACGTGTCAGCACATCCCAGGGAAGATGTCCCTATTCTCACTGACCCTTTCCATCATCTCCAGCATGACATGCCTGCCGCTCCAGAGAGCTGAGGATAACAATCAAGGTGTCCATGGCAGTACTTTTAAGACCATCAAGGAAAACTACCATTGAACTTGGGAGACTCAAAGTGGTTCAGCTCCAGGTCCAACCACGGGCCAGAAGGGAGGGGCATCGTGGACGTCACTGACGAGCCCCTCGATCAGTACCCACACACATGCTCACTCACAGCACCTATGCACCACGTCACCCCATCACTTTGCCACCTCACAGCCTGTGAATCCCAAGTCTGGAAGGCTCACAGAGCTGGCTGTGGGCACCAATATTCCCTGGCATAGCTCCAGGGTGGGGCCACAGTGACGCCCAGCCTGGGCCCTACAATGAGTTTTCTGGCCCGAAGGCGATTCTGGTGTGGGTGTGGTCCGTGTGGACAGCAGGGACAGCAGCCAGCTCTTCCCAGGCTCTCTCCAACAAGTTCCACGAGTCTGTTTGCTAAAGAAAAATTCCAGTGGGCGCATCCAACACATGGAAGTCAAGCACAGAAATTGTGTTTCTCCACCCCACTGCCAAGGAGATCACATGCCCCGTGAGTCACTCCAGATGTGCTCAAAACAGAGCCCGTCTGTGGAAGCCCAGTCCCAATCCCGAGAGAGGTGGGTTCAGAGAGGTACCAGCTCCGGTCCCACCCAGGGGCCTCCACCCTTCTGAGGAGGGGAGGGCCTTCAGAAAAGAGGGGAGCGGTGAGCAGTGTCTTCTCTCTGCGAGAAACAGGGCGGGCACACCTGTGTCACCGGGTCCCACTGGCCTTAAGGGTCATTTCTCCTCTCCTGGGAGAAGATGTCTTGGAAGACTGTGCTTCTTCTGCTGGTCTATTACAATGCTCAGGCAGCCGTGTCCCACAGGTGGAGCAGAGGTGAGGTGTCTTTGTGTGTTTGTTTGCTTGATGCTTATTATTCATTCTTGAATAGAATTAAGGACTTGGGCGAGGGGCTGAGCTGAGTGTGGGAAGGGAGCTAGGAGCCCTGCATCCCCTTAGATCTCTGCCAACTGCTTCCTACTTCCTGGCACCTTCTCCCTGGAAATCGGTGCTGCAAACGGCCCTAGAAAAAGTTAAAGAAACTAAAGGGGCCGGGGCGAGGTCGAGGACCAGAGGGCATCCCTTTCTGGCAGGCCAGGACAAGCTCATCTTGGCTCCATAAAATGTGGACATGGTCCCTGTGTTCCCCCGGGGCTGCTGCCGCTAGCCGGCCGGCCGCAGAGCAGGTGTGAACCGAGGGTTGCTGGGAGCTGCAATGCCGAAGCCTTGTTATCTGGGACCCAGCACAGGAGCTGCTGGGCCCGGGCCACCCAGATGGGGTCTCCTGGCAGGAAAGGGCCGTCTTTCCCCCTCCCCCACAAGGCCTTTTTCTGAATCTCTGGCCTCTTTTTTCAGCTCCGAGCTGTGGTGGCATCTTTGCTGTGTCCCTGTGTCTGTCTTTACTCAAGGAAGCCACTGGGGGTTTGTCGCTGTCAGGAAACCAGGGACCAACTGTGATGACTGTTCTGCACCCGTCTCACCTCCAGCCTTTCTGCCACCTGAAGGCAGTGGGGGTCTGTGCGCAGAAAGGCTGCAGGGAGGGCAAGTGGGCTTCCGGGACTCAGAACCAGCCGGCGGTGCTTGCAGACATCTGGAGCAGGAGGAAGCCGGCCGGTGGGCAGAGGATGGAGGGTATTGGCAGAAGGAGGAGGGGCCAGCTCAGAACAGAGCGGCACAGAGCACAGGGGTCTGAAAGCCAAAGCAGGAGCCACCTCCCTTACATTGACTTTTACTCCTTCGTGCTAAGCCCGAGATTAGAGACCTGCCAGTCCTCTGAGCTGGGCTGGGAAACACTGTGTCCTTGTGGCCCAGTGGTGAAGCACTTGACTGCTAACCAAGAGTTAGGTGGTTCAAAACCACCAGCCGCTCCACGGAAGAAGAATGAGGTAGTCTGCTTCCATGAAGATTACAGCCTTGGAAATCTAGCCTGTCCTGTAGGGTCTCCATGAGGCGGAATCCACTTAACAGCAGTGGTTGGGGTTGTTTGGTTTGGCTTAGTTTGTTCTTTTTCTGTGGGGAATAACATTACACACACACACACACCCTTCACTACTTGCAATGTGCACAAACCGTAGGGCAGCCCCTGAAAGCAGGGAGCAAGGAGGCCTTGGAGTTGTGTTCTGTCACTTACCCCATCTGACCCTGGGTCTCTGTGTCCCTCCCCAGTGAGAAGAGTGAGAAAAGCCATTCTTCCTCACGCCCAGGGTCTTACTCCCCAAACGAGATGCTCAGGCTTGTACTAGGACTTGTGAGCTCCAGGTCGCAGCAGGAGCTACCCTGCAAGGGTCTCGAACGATTTAAGTTCTGCTTCATTGGCTGTGTGGTCGCGAGCAGGTCTCTTCACCTCTCTGAGCTCACTGACAGGAAATAGTAATAATAACCAGACTTAACCCGACTGGGTTGGTGTGAGGGTCAGATGCAGACACGCAAACAAAGATGCTTCGTACAGGATGAGGCGCCATATAAATGGTGGTGGTGCAAAGGGCTAGGGGCTTGACTACTAACCCAAAGAGCAATGGCTCAACCTCACCCAGAGGTACCCTGGAAGAAAGGCCTGGTGACCTGTGTGTGAAAGGGCTGTTGTTGTTGTTGTTATGTGCCGTCTAGTTGGACCCAACCCATAGCGACCCCTCCTTGGGTTTCCGAGGCAGTATCACCACGGAAGTAGATTGCCCCACCTTCCTACTGAGGAGTGGCTGGTGTGTGAAAGGGTGCAGCCATGAATACCCCATAGAATGTAGTTTCATTCTGGAACACATGGGGTCGCCATGCGTGGAATAAGTTAGGCAGCAACTGGTTGGCTGGTGTTACTTACTAGCTGCCAGGTGTGAGTTGATGGATTCATGGGGACCCCATGGGTCCCGGCATTTGTTTGCTTGCCATTTGTATGTTAAAGGCAGAATGGGAGTCACAGCCAAGTTCACAGCACTTTCTCCAAATGTCTTTTTCCTTTCCCTTCATTCATATCCCAGCCCCCCGACCTGCTATGCCTCCTTCAGAGGCAAGAGTTTGCTCTGGAAACAGTCTGAGGGTGCCCTCCCTGTACTGTATCCTCCTCCACCAACTCCCCCCCCCACCTCCCCTCCACCTCCTCCCCCCCCCACAATGCTCCCGCAGGTAGAAATGTGGCAATGAACCCACACACCCCGCGGTCAGCACATCCTTTCCCTGCCGTCCCCCCGGGCTGGCCCTGAGAAGGGCTCTCCAGGATTCTGCTCTGCGAGGTCGCTCTCCCGGCCAGGAGAGTTGGGCCAGCCCCACAGCCTGATTAAAACCAAATGACTCACCTGCCGTTAGCATGGCCGGCCCAGGAGAGCCAGATGGTCACAGGTGCGCGCACACACAGAGACACACACATTCACGCAGACACCAATACACTCACACATAGACACTCACACACAACACCTTCCCACACACACCCTCACAGTGTCACACACACTCACACAGACACACCAATACACACATCTACACTCATATACAACACCTTCTCACACACTCTCACAGTGTCACACACACATACTCACACATATATATACACGATCACATACACAACACCCTCTCATACAGTGTCAGACACAGACACACTCACACACAGAAATACACACATACACTATCACACACATACAGTCATACACATACTATCACACATCCTCACACACACACAGAAACCTACAGACACACTGGCACACATTCACACACATATATGGTCATACACACTGTCTCACACATACACACAAACACACAGATGCACAGAAACACATACACTCACACAGAGAAAGACACACCCACTATCTCACACACACAATGCCCTCACACACATTTTCACACACTGTCACACTCACGGAGACACAGACACACTCACATTCAGAGACACACACAGATACACACTCACACACATACAGTCACACACATACACCATTACACATACACACAGCACCCTCACACATACTGTCACACACTGTAACACACTCTAACACACAACACCCTTATACACATTTTCACTGTCACACACAGACACCCTAACACACATACACTGTCACACACATACAGTGTCACACACATACACTACTACACACACACACGACACCCTCACACTGCACACTTCCACACACACAGAGCCCGAGCCTGGCACTCCCAGGTCCTGGAGAACACCACTTGGGGGCAGAAAGAGAATGATAACTAGCCAGACTCTAAAACAATCAGGATATTTACTAATTAATAGAAAATAGTTCATACCGATACCTATGTTTCCACTCAATATATGTAAATGATCCCTTGTTAAAGTGGTTCAGTCCGGGGAAGGGCGGCCCGCAGCCACTGGGCAGCATGCATGTCGCTTTCCAGCGTCCGCTCCGTTGTTGCGCACCTTTGCCCAGGAGCGTCTCCCGGAGGGAAGGGCGCGGTCGGGCTGCCAGGACTGTGACTGACTAACTTACCGCGTGTTACTGAGCAGCCCCTATTGACCCACAGGAGCCGCTCAAGCAGGTCACTTCTGACGGAGGCAAGGAGACCACTGGGCCCAGTGTCACCCAGACGGAAGGGGCAAGTTGACCTTGCCTGCATGCCCTGTGATGTCAGAGTCAGGATCTGGCAGACACTCATTCTCTCTTCACACCTCTCCATCCTGTCCAGGGTGCTGCCCGTCTCCCCCTGCCCAAGATCCCTCAGTGTGGGCTTGGTGTCAGGCCAAGGGGAGCTGACAGGCAACAGCCCTTCCAGAAGCTCCCCTTGCCCTAGGCACCCCCAGAGGACCCACAGTGGTCAAGGCCCCTGCTACCTCAGAATAGTGCTATGTCTCCTATGGCTGGCCCAGGAGCAGACCGGAAGTGACATCAGCATGCTCTGATAAGACACCTTTTATAAAGGGGAGCCTTCCTTTCCACACCCCACCATTTCCATGGCCTTGTTTCACCAAGGCCTGGAATCAGTTCATTCTGGGTCGACCTCCCTGCTGAGAATCAGCATTTCCACCCCAGATGGACGCATCAGAATCTCCGTCAGAGCAAGATCCCTTGACCCCTTCCCAAGGCCATGGTGGGTTCAGTGGAGACCATGCTCAGCTCAGAGTTGTTCTGCTGGAGGGAACATGTTGAGAGATTTTTACCCCAGAATATAACACGTTGGAGAGAGGGTCATGCTGCAAACAAAGACAGGCCGCTCACTTTAGGGAGTCTTCTCTGTGTGTCCAGGCAAGATAATTCACAGGACTCGCTTAGGAAAGAGGCGGCCACCTGTACTGAGATAAAGTGGCCTCTCCCAGGCTAGGACGGGGCCTGCTTGAAGATACAGGGAGGGTGGGGGCAGGAGTCAACAACTATGCTCTGATAATTAGCCAGAAATGGGAACTGCCAACAAGTTCTGGAACCACGCCGTTAGGGCCAGGACTTAGTGAAACATGTTTGAAAAGACAGTGTAGTGACAAGGGTGGGTGTTGTTGCCAGCCACAGAGTTGGCCGGCCATGGTGACCCCATGCACAACAGGATGAGACTGTGGTGATCCCCTGGTTGATTTCTGGAAGTGGATTGCCAGGCCTTGCTTCCTGGTCCATCTGAGTCTGGAAGCTCCACTGAAACCTGTGGAGTTTCCCCTGTGGCTGGGGACTGAACCCAGGCCTCCTGCCTGGAAGGGGAGAACTCTACCACTGAACCACCACTGCCCCCATCCGACATCAGCATAAATGAGTGGAGTTAGTCTCCACTCATGGCGACCCATGTGTGCACAGTAGAACTGCTCCACAGGTCTTTGGGAAATTCAATGCCAGCCCTTTCCTCCAAGGCACCTCTGGATGAGTTCAAACTGCCAACCTTTCAATTAGCAGCCATGCACCTGTTTGGATAGTGATTACACATTGCTTATTTCCTGCCCACTCCCTCCAGGGTCTCCGTGAATGGAGTTAATCTCCAACAGGCCTCCTCGCATCCACAGGGAGTCAGACGGGGTGGGTGCTGAGCCACTGGGCACTTCAGCAGCTGAAGGGGGGACCCTTCTTTCACAAGCCAAGCAGCTACAGACACCCCAGAAGGCAGTGGAACAGTGAGGGGCATGGGAGAAGACTCCATCTCTACAATTCCTTGTTCCCCACACGTCCTTTCCAAAGCAGTAATGGGCCCCTAGTCTCGAGGCTGAAGGTGTTTCTAACAGTCTTCACCAAGTTGTATTCTTACCTGAAATGGTGTGAAAATAAGTGTTATTGGAAATGAACAGGTTTCCGTTATTAAGCCCAGCTTTGAATCAGGAAGTTTTTCTTCTCAGCTCCTTGAGAACTAGGGGTCCACCTGGGGTGGACATGTTAAAGGAATGTTGCTGTTTGCAGGGAAATGACTGAGGGGAGAAAAGGCCAGGTCCAGGCCTGACAGCCACATCCATCTGGGGGGGACTTCCTGGGAGACTGCTTCCTAGGACTGTGAATGCTGAGAACACAGAGAACTCCCTGCCCATGAGAGTCCCTGCCAGCCCCCTTCACCCATGGGGGTACTTTTATGGGTTGAATTGGGCTCCCCCCCCAAAAAAAAGGAAAAGATATGCTTCAGTCCCAATCCCTGGCACCAGCGAACCTGACCTTGGATATAAGGTCTTTGAAGAGTTATCAGTTAGGTCAACATGAGGTCGTCTGGGAGCAGATCAGCCCTAATGGAATCTGAGTGGTGTCCTTACAAGGAGAGGGACACAGAGTGGATGGCCACGTGAAGATGGAGACAGAGATAGGAGTGGTCAGCTTCAAGCCCGGAACGCCAAGGGTCGCTGGCACAACCGGAAGCTGGAAGAAGCAAAGACAGACCTTCACCTAGGGCATTCAGGGAGAACATGGCCCTGCCAACACCTGCATGTCAAACTTCTGGCCTTCAGACTGAGAGAAAAAACATTGCCTTTGAGTGAGTTCCAACTCATAACAAGCCTATAGGACAGAATATAACTGCCCCATGGGGTTTCCAAGGCTATAACCTTTATGGAAGTAGACTGCCTCCTCTTTCTTCCACAGAATGGCTGCTGGGTTCAAACTGCCAGTCTTTTGGTTAGTAGTCAAAGCTTTAAGCACTGCACCATGAGACCTCCTTGCAGTACTATTACCAAAAAAAAAAAAAAACCCTCACTGCCATCGAGTCAGACCTAACTCATAGCAACCCCTCCTTGGGTTTCCGAGGCGGTATCTCTACAGAAGTAGATTGCCCAGTCTTCCTTCCGAGTAGTGGCTGGTGGGTTTGAACTGCCAGCCTTCTGGTTATCAGTTAGGGACCTGTATAATTAGGGAACTCCCTTGTGGAGTTTTGAATTTTAGCTTGTTTTCTTGTTTTGTCCCGTTTCGCTGTGCTTATTTTAATACAGATTCCCTAGGGGTGGGACCTACACATATGTATTTTTTGAAACTTCCTCAGATGATTTTGGTAAGCACCTAGGTTTGAAACCAAACATCGGACATGCCTGAGAACTTTCTGGAACATACCAGAGGAGTCTGTCACCTCTCCCTCTGCAGGTGAAGGCAGAGTGCACACACAGTTAGCCCGAGGGGAAGGCAGTATGCACCTAGGATTAACCTGGGGTGGGGGATGGTGGAGAAGCAGTACACATACAGAAGTAGCCTGAGGGGAAGGTAGTGTGCACCCACAAACTTGCCAAGCTAACTCTTCTGTCTCTTCCAGCCATGCTCTTCCCTGCTGCCCACCGGCCAAAGAGGTCCTCATCCATGCCACTGAATCCAGTCCTGCAGACCTCCCTGGAGGAGGTAGAACTGCTGTATGAGGTAGGCAAGAAAAAAAACAAAAAAACAAAAAACTCATTGCTGTCAAATCAATCTGACTCAGCCACCAAGACTCCTTAGATAACATCTAAAAAAAAAAAAAACTCTGCTATCAAGTCAATCTGATTCATAATGACTCTATAGGACAGAGTAGAACTGTCTCATAGGGTTTCCAAGGCTGTAATCTTTATGGAAGTAGACTGCCTCATCTTTCTCCCACAAAGCAACTGGTGGGTTCGAACCATGGACCTTTTGGTTCGTAGCTACATGCTTAACCACTGTGCCACCAGGGCTCCATGAGGTAGGCAGGAAAGGGCCAAAAGGCACTGCACCATCTCTGTCATTTTTGGAGAAAAAGTAGCCTGAGCCCCTGAGAATTACTGGCCTCTGCTATCACAGGGCATGGTCTAGACTCATTTGCAAAGGTTGTATCATCTGCCCATGCCAATGTAAGGTGTTCTTCTTACCTCCTGTCTTTTCCCACCTGCAGTAACAGGAAATAATGGCACTAGGAATCTGGTCAAAGCAAAACTACAGATTTAACTTTGGGCCATGGGTGCCACTATTGACACCCAGGCACTGTGTGTGGCGATAATCCCAAGCAGGTCTGCCCTGTCATGCAAGGCAATGCCAAGCTGATTGTCTGAGTGAGCCGTGTGACAGCAATGCCACTTCTGGCCTCCCTGCTAGCCTTGTGTTGTTTCTGAAAGCCTGGGCCATCCTTCAGGCTCTCCTCTTTTCCCACACCCCATCCCTGCAACCCATCCTCTTGCAAACCACAGGGTAAAACTTCCTCAGGCTGCCTGGTGCACTGGTAAGAACCCAAGCTCAAGAGATAAGTTGTAGTCCTGGCTGTGCCACCCACCAGCTGCATATCCTCACACAAGTCACTGGTTTCCTCTGGGCCTGAGTCCTCTCCACTGTTAAATGAAGGAATTGGACAAGGAGCTCCAAAATTCCCCTGTGGCTTGGACATGCTCTGACGCCATGCACTAGAGCTGACTAGGTAAGAAAGAGAAAGCTTGCTGCAGCCAACCATGTAAGCTCAAAAAGAGATTTCAAATCCTGCCTTGGGGAGAACCCTGGAAATATATCTCACTGTCTTTGCCAAGCCTTGAATGTGGACATCTGTTCTGGTTCCCTAGTGTCACTCTGACAGGAATATACCACAAATGGGATGGCTTGAACAAACAGGAGTTTATTCTCTTACAGTTTGGAGGCTTTAAGTCCAAGTTCAAAGTGCCAGGCTCTAGGATCTGGGTGAAAGCCCCTCAACCTTGGGCTTCAGCTTTGCTTTCTGCTCTTGGCCCACTGGAGCTAGAGGTTTTTCTTCACTCAGCTGCTGGCTGCTGAGGCTGACAAGCCCAAGGTTGACAAGTAAAAAGGCACAGTCCTGATGTTACCAAACCATAAGGCAGGCCATTAATTCAAGTCCACTGAGAGTATCAAGGTGAGCAGAGCATGGCAGGCTGCTGAACAATGACACAGCTGCATGCAGGGTTCAAGTGTGCCACAAGCTAGAGACCATTCCCCAAGGCTTCTCCTTATATACAGATAGCAGCCCACATCCTTAAAGCAGCTACTCAGCCACTCACAGTAGATTCCACCATTGAAGTGGTTACCATTCTCATGATGGAGAATACTACATCCAGCTGCCCAGCCACTCAACCAGCCCCAGCCAAGCTGACACACAAACTTAACTAGCACAGCATCATATGAGCAAATCTGTGAGAAAGACAACAGACAAAGCATAGAGGATGATTGGAGCAGGTGGAAGATGGAGGCAGAGAGACTTGTTAGAATTCTGAGTCATTCCATCTAAAAGGTGTTTACTGAGTTCCTACTACATGCCTAACACTGTGCAGGGGGTGAAACAGAGTATGTGTCAGACCTGCCTTGCTCTTGGAGAACTGGTGAAAGGAGAGGACATATCTCTGTATCCCAATTATTTCCTAGGACAGTTCTCCACATCCTTTGAATTCGTTCTCTGTTTCTGCTTAATAATTATCCAAAATAGTCAGTTTATGGTTTAGAAGATCTGTGGTAGGTAAGAAGGAGAAAAGGAGGAAGGGGTTGATCTTGAACACTAGGGATAATAATTGGTTACTTGAGTAGAGTGGCTTTGTACCAGCTTCATGTTACACGTTGTCCATATCTATCTTATTTTTCTCTCACAACATCCAAGTGATATAGACATTGTTAGAAAAACAGCTGCTGAGGCTTCCAACTCATGGCAACCCCATGTGTGCTGAGCTGGACTGCTCCACAGGGTTTTGAAGGCTGTGACCTTTCAGAAGCTGATGACCAGGACTTTTCACCAAAGACCCTCTGCCTGGTTTCAAATCACCAACCTTTTGGTTAGTATCCCAATCCTTAACCATTTAATTTACAGTACCCTCATAGACGCTGTTACTAGTCATTTTACAGAGGAGGAAAGTGAGCTCAGAGAAGTTAAGCAGAGATAAGCACAGGCTTACTTGTGCCTGCTTACTAAGCTGTAGGGGACTGTTTCACATAATGTGGTGAAAAACATGTGAAACGGTTCTCTACAGATTCATAAGTAAGTACAAGAAAGCTCGTGTTTATCTTGCTTATTGGGTAATCTGACACTGAGTAACCGTTCCAAGGTTACACAGTAAAGGACCAGTCAGCTGGAGCCCAGATCTCCTTGGCTTCCTAAATGAACACGTGCTAGTGAATAAAGCCTTGTCCTCAACAATGCCTGACTCATGTCTTCCCACATCCCATGTTTCTCGCCAGTTCCTCCTCGCTGAACTCGAGATCAGCCCAGACCTGGAGATCTCCATCAAGGATGAGGAGCTCCACTCCTTGCGGAAGGCCTCTGACTTCCGCTCCATCTGCAACGACGTGATCCCCAAGCGCATCCCAGATATCCGCCGGCTGAGTGCCAGCCTTGCCAGCTACCCTGGAGTCCTCAAAAAGGAAGATTTTGAAAGGACAGCGCTGACCCTGGCCTATGCAGCCTACCGCACAGCCCTGGCCCAAGGGCATCAGAAGAAAGTCTGGGCCCAGGCCCTGCTTAGCCTCTTCCAGGCCTTGAGGCATGACCTGATGCAGTCTTTGGGCCCCGGAAGATCACTTTGAAAGACTGACCTGTACAGTGTATGGAACAGGGACCAACACACCCAACAATCCAGAAATTCTTCATCCTTTGCTCCATTACAAAGACCTGCAACAAAGGCACACAACCAACTCAGAGCAGCAAAGATAAAATCTCTCTGCCCCTTGTAGCTTCCTGAAAAACTACTCTGACTCATGTCCTAAGGTGACCTGGGCTGGAAGAAAATGTTCTTCTAGCTACCTCCAGAAATGGAACGGTTTAACAAGTCCCATGCAGAAATCTAAACCTGCTTCAACACTGAACAACTGCCACAACACCCAAGAGTGAGAAGAGCTTTGAGGAAGGCTGGGAGGATGGGGGACAGATTTGTTTCTTTCTAAGGGACCAAGGTTCAGGGTTGAAAGGACATCTTTTCCAAAGGTTCTGTCAGTAGGATTAAAGAAATGAGAGCTATACACAAATAAACACAATGTTAGGCAAGGCTATACTTCTCAACTTCTCCAAAAGCCACCAATAAGACTCAGTGGGAAAATTCGTAATTTTATGACCCATATATCTTGGCTTTTCTTTTCTGAAGGCTAATCTAACAAAGGGAGCTCTGGTAGCATAGTGCCTAAGGCACTTGACTGCTAACCAGAAGGCTGGCGGTTCAAACCCACCAGCCACTCCTCGGAAGGAAGATGAAGGAATCTACTTCCATAGTGATACTGCCTCGGAAAGCCAAGGAGGGGTCACTATGAGTCGGGTCCGACTTGACGACACATAACAACAACAACAATCTAACAAAGAGAGGCAACAGGAAGGGGCCCATTGAAATGCTACCAGTCTGAACAGTCACTCCTTGTCTTTTGAACAGAGAAACCAAGCTACTGCAGAGAGAGTCACTCTAATGGGAGAGGCAGCACCAACACCCTTGTCCATCCGTCCTTATGTTCAAATTCTTTAGCATCACCAGAGAATTAAGTTCCCCAGATATAAATGGTTTCCAGAAGACAGAACACTACCCCCACAAATGCCAAAACTCATGTTTAGCAGTATTGACTTGATATCTTCATTAAACTACATCTACGAAACAGCCTAAGCTTTCATTAAGTACCTTAAGATTGAAGATAAACATTGGACATATTCTAATAAAAGAATTGGATAAGATCATCTCTAAGATGCCTTGCAGTTCCAAGATTTCTACAGTCATCTAACTAACCATGAGATATTATGAAGAGGACATATGGGTCAGTCATAGATCTCTCCTAACCTGTTTGCATTAACTCTGAAAGGTCCCAAACCAAAACCACCACCAAACTAGTTGCCGTCCAGTCAGTTCTGACTCATGGCAACCACCTAAGTTTCAGAGAGTAGAACTGTGCTCTGTTGGGTGTTTTCATAATTTATTTTATTTTATTTTTGTTGTCGAAAATATACACAGAAGAACATGCAACAATTAAACAATTCAATGACCCTGATGACATCCTTCGAGTTGTGTGACTGTTCTTACCTTCCGTTTCTGAGTTGTTCTTCCCCCATGAACATATACTCAACTGCCCTCTAAGTTTCTGTCTAACCCTTGGAGTTGCTATTGTCAATTGATCCCACACAGATAGATCTTAAAAGAGCTCAATGCTCAAGGCTGACAGTCTTTACTAGTTAAGCTAAACCATTGTTTAGTTTTAAGAAGACTGAAGGAGCACTGGGTTTTCAATGGCTGAGTTTTTTGGAAGTAGATTACCAGGTGTTTCTTCCAACGTGCCTCTGGGTGGGTTCAAACCACTAACCTTTGGTTAGCAGTCGAGCACTTAACTGTTCGTACCATCTTTGAAAGAGCCTCCTTTGAGAGGCCCAAACCAAAGCCAAATTCACTGCCATTGAGTTGATTCTGACTCATAGCGACCCCCACTGGATTTCCAAGGCTGTAAATCTTTACAGAAGCAAACGGCCTCATCTTCTGCAGAGTAGCTGTTAGGTTTGAAATACCAACTTTTTGGTTAGCAGCCAAATGACTTAACACTGCGCTACCAGAGCTCCTTTGAAAAGCCCAGCCTTTGCTAAATTCTCTGTCCAGTTCTGAGTTTTCCTGTCATCATCAGGCTCTTAGAGTTCACCTTTCTTTGTAACCAAGAAAACTTACCCTTTTCAATTTGCTCTTTTTTGTCTGTCATCACTTGAAAACCAGGGCTTTGAACTGGTTCATTCCAGGTTGCCCTCCTGCTGAGAATTTGCTTTTTCACCCCAGAAATACTGTATCAGAATCTACATTTTAACTGGTTCAAAGCCCACAAAGAACTAAGACAACTAGGCTTGTTATGATTGTGTTAAATAAGAGTTAACAGGTGCGGAAGACCTCTGTGAGGAGTAAAATGCCTGGGATCTAATAGGGGTTCCTCACCAGCTAAGACCTTTCTGGCACCTCCTAGGTCCACAGCTGGGCTCTGGAGGCTAAAGCTGCAAGAAGTGTGATCTTTCGATGATTGAGGATTCAGTGGGCTACATTTGACTCCAGCAACAGCCATTGTCATGTAACGATGATGCAAGCTCACCTGGATTCTTTAAAATGTTTGAACAAATGAGCTTTGCCTACTGGCACCAGCTGCATGATCTTTTTGGAGAGACACAAGGATGCAGGAAGAAGGTCTTCATCATCAGAGAAAAATACAACACTGCACCCTGATGTGCTCTGACTCAAAAGATTCCTCACTGTTAGTCTCGTCTCTTCCTCATATCCTGGTTAGACTACACTTCCTACTTCACTCAAACTCAAACTCTCACATAGGCTTTTTGTTCGATCCTTTTCTTGCTGGTACTATGTGTTCTCCTTGGTGTGGTCACTCTGCTCATTTCTTTATTTTAGGGCCTGATTTTGATTATCTTCATGTCCATTTATGGACATACCCACGTGTCTCTTCCAGTTGCCTTTTGTACTGTCTCTGCTTGCCCATCCAGTTGGTAGCAAAGGACAGCATGTATGGTAGAGGGTCCATGAACATGAGAGAAGCCCTCAAGATGGGTTAGCACAACACAGCCACAACAACAGACTCAACACATACCAACAATCATGAAGATAGCATGGGACTGGACAATGTTTTGTTATACATATGGTCACCACCAGTTCACACTGACTTTACATCAGCTAACAACATCTCTGCCTGCCCATGCTCTGACCCTTGCTGCCTTTGGGTGTCATTGTCTGAATAAAACAAAGGTTAGTTGTGTAGACAGGGCTGACCAGCCATCAGCCTCACGGCCTGCCTTCACTGTTTGCACTTTTCCTGGACATGATGGTGGGGGTAGGTGAGCAGCAATGGCCTCCATCCCTGAACACAGTACAATATTCTGATGACCAGTAGCTTAGTGTCTCTGTTCAAAAGAAAAGGGTGGCTGTTTGGACTGGTAGCATTTCAAAGGGCTCCTTCACATTGGGCCTCTGGGGTAGACCAGCCTTCAGGAAAGAAGAGTAAAGACATATGTTGTTGTCGTTAGTGCCATTGAGTCAGCTCTGACTCATAGTGACCCTATATACAATAGAACAAAACACTGCCTGTTCCTGTGCCAGCCTCACAATCCTTGCTATACCTGAGCCCATATTGTAGCCACTGTGTCAATTCATCTCATTAAGAGTCTTCCTCCTTTTTAATGACCCTCCACTTTACCAAGCATGAAATCCTTCCCCAGGGAATCGTCCCATCTGACAACATGACCAAAGTAGGTGAGAGGAAGTCTGGCCATTCTCGCTTCCAAGGAGCATTCTGGCTGCACTTCTTCCAGGACAGATTTGTTAGTTCTTTTAGCAGTCCATGGTACTTTCAGAATTCTTCACCAACACCACAACTCAAAAACATCAACTCTTCTTCAGTCTTCCTCATTCATTGTCCAGCTTTCACATGCATCAGAGGTGACTGAAACCACCATGTCTTGGGTTAGGCACACCTTAGTCTTCAAAGGGGAGCTCTGTTGGTGTAGTGCCTAAGGCATTTGACTGCTAACCAGAAGGCTGGTGGTTCAAACCCACCAGCCACTCCTCGGAAAGAAGGTTGGGCAATCTACTTCCATAGTGATATTGCCTTGGAAACCCGAGGAGGGGTTGCTATGAGTAGGACCCAACTAGAGGGCAGTGAGTCTTCAAAGGGACATCTTTGCTCTTCGGTACTTTAAAGTGATCTTTTGCATATAAGTCATAAAATTACAATATTCTTGCAGCCCACCCTGAGATCCCTCTCCCCTCTCAGAGTGGATCTGAGAGCCTTCTTATAGTCAGAATCACCAAGTGGATGGACTATAGTCCTTGCCCACCATGTTATAGGGGAGGTGGCTGCTCCCAGTAGGAGATGTGACTGGGAAAGGTCCCTAGACCACTGATAGAAGCAGTAGCTCATTCACTCAGACAACTAAATCATTCATAGACATAATTTGGTGCCTGAATTTACATGGCAATTAATGGCTGAAAAAATAAGGGCAGCCACTCAGAGGGAGCAAGTAGTTGGACCTGTGGGCTCGGGACCATGGTCGTGGAGGACCTCAAGCTCAACTGGCATTACATACTACACAAAACATTGTTCCACTTCCTGCTTTGGCAAGTAGCGACTAGGAACTTAAAAGCTTCCCAAGTGGCCATCTAGATGCAACAATGGGTCTCTCCTCATCCAGAGCAAAGAAGAATGAAGAAAACCAATGATGCATGGAAACAATTAGTCCAAGTGACTGGTACACCATGCAATCCTCAGCCTATACAACTGTGAGACCAGAAGAACTAGAGGGTGACCAGCCCCCACTGTCAACCACTTGGAGGGGTATCTATGTAGGAGATTCTGGATAGAGTGGGAGAACAAGGTGGAACAAAACTCAAAATTATTTAAAAAAAAAAAAAAAGGCCAGGTTTTCTGGTTTCATAGAACCTGGTGGAACCCCTGAGACTATGGTCCTAGCTGCCCTTCAGGTCCAGACCTGAAGGGCAGTTTACTTCCAGCCAAACAAAAGACAGTCATATGACATGAACATTTACATTAAGTAGATACACTTCTTGGAGAGAACAATCATGGGAGAACAGAAGGGCCGTGTATGCACAGGGAGACAGCTCAGGGGGCAGGAGTGCATGGAGGGAAGGGCACAGGGAGAAGGGAACTATGGGGAGGAAGGTGGGAGGGGAGTTGTTGCATTGTGAGAAATTGTAGTCAATGTCATGGAAGCTGTTGTATGTAAGTGTATGTAAGCTGTTGTATGGAAAGTGAACTTGCTCTGTAAACTTTCACCCAAATCATAATTTAAAAGAGAGAGAGAAAGAGAAAAAATACCATGTAATTCCATGCATATAAATCCTAAGAACAGGCCAACTTAATCCAGGCTGAAGAAGTTAAAATAGTGGTTACTTCCTCTGTAGGGGAAGAAAAGGGATTGATTGTGAAAGATCATGGTTGGGGGCTTCTATTACGTATCATGAGCTGGGTGCTAGTTTCACACTTAAGATCTGTGCATTTTACTGTATGACTGTTGTACCAGAATAAAAACATTAAAAGTTACACAGAAAAAATAAATAAATAAATAAATAAATAAATAAATAAATAAATAAATAAGGGCAATGTCCTTTTTAGAGACAAATGAAAACCCTTCATTTTCTATAACTAGAGACTTAATATTTTTCCAAATACAAATTAATTATCTACCCATGAAAACTTTTATAATAATAGTTTCATTTACATGCAAACTTAAGTAATATGCTCATAATCACCATTTGAAAATTCTCCTCTTTGCCAATGAACAGTAAATACAGTAAATATAGAATAGAAAAGGACAAGACTTTCTCATTTTGATTCAAGGATGTCATGCTGTACAGATTCACAATGACAATCCGGTCACATTGTCTCTTTATTCATACATAGAGTAATTTAGGGGTGGAAACATGCCTGTGCCCTAGGGCCATTTCCACCATTTGTATATGCTGGGAAATTTTAGCATTGAAAAATTCTGGAAGTTTTCTCCATCTTTGGCATCCACGTGGCCATCTCTGAGGTCACTCAAGAGACACTGGCAAGCATCTGGTACAGAAGCTTCCATGGCTCTGCTATGTCAACCTACATCTGAGTAAAAGAGAATCACATATATGGTAATTCAGTCGGGTGATAGTTCCACAGACAAGACGAAAGTTAAGGGTGCCGTTATTCTCATAACCCATTTTAACATCTTGATTTCTTAAGCTTTATTCTGGACAGGGTTATCTTCATGTGAGAAATGGAAAGAATACTGAGGGAAAACTGTTGGTCCTAACCGTGTGGGCCACCTTGTTGCTGTTGTAGGTGCCATCAAGCCAGTTCTTAAGTCATAGTGACCCCTTGTATAACGGAACAAAACGCTGCCTGGTCCTGCACCATCCTCACAGTCATTGCTATATTTGAGCCCACTGTGGCAGCCACTGTGTCAATCCATCTTGTTGAGGGTCTTCCCCTTTTTCCCTGACCCTCTACTTTGCCAAGCATAATGTCTTCCTCCAGGGACTGCTCCCTCCTGATAACGTGTCCAAGGTACGTGAGACGAGGTCTTGCATTATTGCTTCAAGGAGCATTCTGGCTGTACTTCCTCCAAGACAAATTTGTTTGTTCTTCTGAAGTTCATGGTATATTCAACACTCTCTGCCAACACCTTAATTCAAAGACATCAATTCTGCAATTGTCAATTCTCATTCATTGTCCAGGTTTTACATACATATGAGGTGATTGAAAATATTATGGGTTGGGGCAGGCACACCTGAGTCCTCAAAAGTGACAACTTAGCTTGTTAACACTCGAAAGAGGTCTTTTGCTGCAGATTTGCTCAGTGCAATATGGCATTTGCTTTCTCAGCTGACTTTATCTGATTTTATTGAACAGGTCTTCATTTATGGTCCTAATAAAAATGCTAGCACTGATTTTATTAGGTCACCGAGTCTTTGTCTTCTCAGATTATCTCAGAGGGATCTGCAGTGGTTCAGGGTTGGACAGCGCTTGTTGACTTCGACAGCTGTTCTGGACCCCAGCATGTGGCTCTGTGCCCCAGCTGTTCATTATTATCCAGTCTCTCTCATATTTACAACCAAAACATCACACATGTGGTCCTGCTCATGCGGAGTTTCAGAATTGTTTCAAAAATGAAGCAAGAATGTCATACATACAGTAGCCAGTCTTTAACATGCTTTAACATGAGTCATCCCAGACTTTATATAACAGCAAGATAACCTCAGAGGGGACCCAGCTGGCCAGGGCTGCACTGGCCTCCAAGCCAAGAAGAACTGGTTTTCTGTACTCATTTTCTGACCACTTCACCTTTAGCCCAGAGATCATTTCCAACTGGTGGAGGTGGAAGTCCTGGCACACCGTTCCTTATGCTCTCTGAATTTCAGGAGAAGGTGGGCTTTATAACCCCTTGACCCAGCTCAATATCTCCCAGGCAAAGGCGACACTGCCCAGGTCCACCACTTTGTAGAAAGTTTGGGGTTTCCTTTTTCCCTCCCTCTTCCGAGGTGCACATGTTCTTTCTGAGAAATGAAGCTAACAGCTTCTCCTGTACTGTAAGCAGGAGAGACTCCAGAGTCCAGCTGCTGCTAAGACCCTGCTCTGATTCTTCAGAAGTAGATCACCAGGCCTTTCTTCCAAAGCTCTGAGTCGACTTGAACTACTAACATTTTGGTTACCAGCCAAGTGCTTAACTGCTTGTACAACCAAAAAAGCCCAAACCAAACCTGTTGAGTCAATTCTGACTCATGACAACAACCCCATGTGTGTTTGAGTAGATCTGTGTTCTACAGGGTCTTTAAAGGCTGTGGCCTTTTGGAAGGAGATCACCAGGGCTTTCTTACCAGATGCCTCTGAGTGGCCCTGAACCTCTAACCTTTCGGTTGGCAGCTGAGCACTTAACTGCACCACAAGACTCAGAGGACCTCCACACGAAACTGGCTCCTGAATGTTCCCAGAGAGGCAGGGACTCTTCCCTTCTCCCCAAGAAGGGTCTGTGGTCTTTCTCACAGGCTGAGAGCCTGGCTGGCGTAGACTGTTTTCACTCAGGTGCTGAAGCAAATTATGTCTGACCACTCTGGGGCAAACTGCTCCGGAATCATATTCCATTTTCTTCCTGCCACCACACACCTCATCGCCCTAAAGGACTAGGTCAGCAGGTGGCCCTCCCAGCATAAGCTCCATGACCCCTGCCCCCAACAATACATCAGTGCTTGGTGTGGTGAAATCATGTTACAAGGGGGTCATCCCTGAACCCCTGGGGTTGTTTGTTGGAGAATTTGAAAAACATGCCTTGCAGGCTGCCTGGGTTCCGCAGGCTCAGCAGGCCCCTGCTGTGGCCAATCAGGAGCTGCCCTGCAAAGAGGGATGGGCTGTTCTTTCCAACTCACCGATTGGCCGGGATGGGTGGGCGGGGCTGCCTGGCCCCATCCCAGCCTCCCATAGGTGCACTAAAGCCAAAGGTGGGCCAACAGCAAGTGTTTGTTCGGAGACAAAAAGGAATGTCTTCCGGGCTTTTTCTGCTCTGGAGGCCTGGACTCGAGCGAGCTTATAAGTGTGAAGCCCATTTGAAGGAAAAACATTTGGAAGGAGTGAGGTGCCTGGTTCTGGGAGGGAAGACCAGCCCTACCTGAAGTCCGCATGAGCCTCTTGCAAACTCAGGGTTTGTCTTAACGGGAAGGGGGTCTTAGAGTTTTACCAACAGCAGCACAGGTAGGAGCTGAGACTGGTATCCCCCAAAACAGACCTTCCGGGGCGGAACAGTGATGGAGAGCATGTAGATGACGCCTTCCGGGTCACACAGCAGCCACCAAGGTGTGCTTGTAACCGGCTGAGAGCACCTAGAATGACACCGCTCTAGGGCCAAGCAAGAGGGACCCCGCTATGGCCCCGTTTGTAATCCTCTCCCAGTTCCTTTCTGCTGGTCGTAAAACCATGCTCATCAACCCCACCTAAAACAGAAGACCCACCTTTGGGGACAGAGGGGGTGTACCTGCCTCCTGCTCGGCCCCCGAGACCGAAGAGGAGTTTCCAAAGACGCCAAGGAGGTTCCGGACGTCCTCCCAGACAGGCAGCGTCTAGCGAGGCCCCAAGGTCTTCTGCCCGCCGTGGAGGCGGGGGAGGCAGGGACTGGGCCACCATGGGGCTGCTGAGGGGCCTGCTTGGAGCCCGCAACCTACTCCTGGTCATCCTGGTCCCGCTCCTGCTGCTGCCTTTGCCCATCCTGCACCCCACAAGTGTAAGTACGACCTGCCCCCCCCCCCGGGCCTGGGCGCGGGCTCAGGTGCAGGGTCAGGGAGGGGAGGCCAGCCGAGGGACCCGGTGCTTCGGCAGCACCTGAAGACACCCTTGTTGTGGCATGAAAGGAGCTCTGGTGGCTGAGAACCTAAGGCACCGTGACTGCTAACCAGAAGGCCGGCAGTTCAAACCCACCAGGCACTCCTTGGAAGGCAATCTCCTTCCGTAGTGATACTGCCTTGCAAACCCATGAAATGGGAAGGTCTTTCTGGAGGATGCTAAGGTACCTTCTTCCTAAAAACTGCCTTTCTCATCCCTCTGGCCCACTCCCAGGCCCAGGGCCCTGATTAGAGTAGGGGTCTGGGTCAGAGTGACTGGTCAGTGGGCCAGCCTGCCCCAGCTATGGCTGGGCAGCCGTGAAAAGAAGGACCTGGATTCGTTGGGAGCCAACTTGTAACCTTCTTGATCTGGAAGCAGCAGGAGACCCAGGAAGGCGACACAGTAATGCTGAAGGAGCAGGATGGGGGAGCATGGTCCGTTCCCAGCGAGGGCCACTGGGCACCTGTCCTGGCTCTGGGCGCTGGCTGTGCTGGGCGCTGATACCCTGATGTTAAATTGAAAGTTCACCTTGGCTGGCAGCCCTGACTCTATGGATAAGGCCCTTTGATTGTCTGCGACCTCAGCTGCTTTTGCTCTGTGCCCTATAGGAGGGGGTGGGAAATGTCACTTTCAGAAACAGGATGAGTCGTCACACCACACACCACACCAGCGGCCACCTAGTCCTTATCAGGTGTGTGTAAGCCCAGGACCGGAGCTTTGGCCCCTTCCTGTCCCTGGTCTTCCCCTCCCCTGCCTGTGGCCTTACCCCTGCCCCCAACAGCACCACCCTGGGGTTTTAGGGAAGTTAAGCTAAGGCACATGTTTGTGGGAGGGAAAAGCCGGCCTCCCCTTAGCCCCTTGAATAGCTTGGTAACCAAGATTAAATTAAAAAACTAAATAAAGGGGATTAGAATGGTCCCTGTCAAAGACAAACTGGTTCGAATCTTTAGTAGAACCAACACTTCCGAGCACCAAGGAGACGCTGACTGAAACGGCTGGGATTAGCAGGCAGTGAGTGATGGGGGCTTTACACCGGTCCTTGTTCTGCCCCACCCAGTGGGCCTGCATTCTGGTCTCCCCTTTCCTGGTCTGATTGAAGGGAATGCACACAGGAGACTTTATCACCCTTTTCTCCAGGGCCCCTGCCTCCCCCTACATCAGCCCCACTTCCAGGAACCATGACCTTGGGGTACATTGTTTCTACATTTCATTCTGGAGCCCTTCAGTGTCTTGGTTATTGATGGCTACTGAGAAGAATCCATGGGAAGGGAAAAAAATTGAAGCAAGCAAGAGGATCTATTATAAGTTTGAGGGAAGAGGGGTGTTGTGGGAGAAGAGGAAGGGCTGGGAAACACTTCCTCAGGCCAGGACACTGGGCCTTCTCTCGACCTTGCGATTGCTCTCAGTCTGAGTTTTACTCTAGTTTTCCAACAGGGCCACGTTCCCAACATTTGAGGCAGGGCCGGATAATTGTGGGCAACTGTGGTAACCAAAAACACCTCCAGCACAGCCTCCCTCAGAGGTTCCAGTCAGTGGAGGTGGGTAGGACACAGGGACGTGCATTCTGCCTCTTTCCCAGAAAAAAAGATGGAGTGAGGGGGCTCCAGTGGGGCAGAGGGCCTGGAACCCCACCAGGTCGTTTTATTTCTGTGACAATGAGGGCATTGCTCTACATTGCATTCTTTTCCAAGAGGAGCCATTTTGATTTCCCTGTTGATTCTGCTGTCTTCCCAGCAGTTCTAAGCGTTTGAACTTCCCTCTGATCTTGTGGCTCTGAGGATGTCTCAGTGGGAGCTACAGTCAGCAGTCGCTGGGCTCAGTTCCCATTTCCCAACCCAACCCTGACCCTGTAATCCATGGGCAGCAGGAGGGAACACAGCCCGTCCAGCCAAGCCGGGTTAATCGCTCCTGCAGCCTTCCCTGATCACAGTGACCTTTTGTTAACTTTGCCGCAAGAGTCTGAGGGCGCTTGTTCCGAACCCAGGGAGGTGTAAACAGAGCAAGATTCCTCAGGGCCTTGATCAGCAGCCAGCCTCTGGGCAGGTCAGACCTCAGCCCTGAGGTTTTAGAGCTGAGCGAAAACTGAGGAAGGTCCCTGGGTGGCATAAACGCTTTGTACTCTTCTACTTAAAAAGAAGCCCTGGTGGCACAGTGGTTTAGCGCTCGGCTGCGAACCGAAAGGTGGGCAATTTGAACCCACCGGCTGCTCGTGAGAGAAAAGAGCTGCTAGTCTGGCCCTGTAAAGATCACAGCCTGCAAACCCTATGGGGCTGCGCTGTTCTGTCCTGTTGGGTCGGAATCAACTCGACAGCACCCAACAGCAACACTAACTTAAAGGCTGGTGGTTTGCACCTACTCAACAGCACTGCGAAAGAAAGGGCTGGAGATCTGTTTTCACAAAGACCACAGCTAAGAAAGCTCCATGGAGCGGTTCTACCTGTAACACATGGGGTCACCAGGAGTCAGAACCAACCCAGTGGCAACGGACTTAAACACTGAGGAAGCCACCGCCAGCTTGGGTGTTCTACACAGTGGCCTTCAGAGTCCCAGGGCTTGGCGATAGTGCCGTCACTGAGGACCTGGGACATCGAGTGGCCTGGCCCAAGAGCAAGCCTTTCTCAGCCCTGTTCTCCAACCCCATTCTTGACAGTCAGCACTGACAGGGCTGAGGTTAAGGGGGAGCTGCTTTTTCTAAAAAATGGTGTGTGTCTTTGCTCTGGGTGAACCTGTAGGTTGTGCCACCAGCAAGGTGGGAGGCCCGGGGGGAAATGATAAGAGGTAGACAGCACTGTGCAGTTCCTCTGTGGGAGGCTGGCTCCATTGGGCCTTCCCTCTGAGGTAATCGCTCTCGCGGTCCGCCTGCAGGAGGCTGGTTCCGTCAGAGCTTCCCTCTGACGTAATCGCTCTTGCGGTCCGCCTGCAGGAGGCTGGTTCCGTCAGACCTTCCTCTGAGGTAATCGCTCCCGCGGTCCGCCTGCAGGAGGCTGGTTCCATCAGAGCTTCCCTCTGAGGTCGACAGCACCATGCATTCCCTTTGTAGGAGGCCGGTTCCCTGTCCACCACATGGAGAGGCATGAATTCCACAGCAGTGAGAACCTGACTGTGCTTAGGGCGCTCGCTCTCAACGGGGGCTGTTTTCTCCCTCCTCCCCAAGGGACATTTGGCCACGTCTGGAGGCATGTTTGTTTGCCACAACAAGAGTGGGGGTGCTACTGAGGCCAAAGATGAAGTTCCATATCCTGCGATGCACAGGACAGCCCCACGACAGAGAATCTGGCCCCACGTAGCAATAGTGCGGACACTGAGAAACTCCACGTCGGAGAATCATGCCTCTTCCTCATCCGGAGATGGGCCTGTTACCAGATTGCTGCCTGCCTCTCCAGCCCCACCTCCCCTGCCCTACTCTACCCTGCCTTCCCTTCTTCTCCTCTCCCCACCACCCTTCAGTTTCCTCTGGCTTGTTACTAACTCTTCAAGGAGGGCCCCGAGATGCTGCTATAGAATCATAGAACCTCAGATGGGAGGATGGAGAGAAGCAGTCCAGCAGGTCTTCCAGCTGCGTGAGGCCTAACAAGGCGTCTCATTACAGTGTACTGCTGCCCAGCTCTGGGAAATCACCCAAACAGAGGGATTCACACCTCATTGGTCATTGCTGAATCACTGGAGTCCTTTCTCCAAATATTATCTTGTGTGTAATTCACTATGTAAATCGAACGAAAGCAGAGGTTCCCTGGTTGGGGTGAGGCTGGAGAAGGGGCTGATTCGGGGCCCTGCTGGTCTCCTCCTGTCCCTTGGGATGTTCCTGAGACCCGCACACAGAATCCAAGGCGACAGGAGCACCTTTTGGGTTATTTGTAACCCAAGGGTCTCACTTTCTAGTGACCTGCGTCTCTCAAATCGGGCACACACCCAGTTGCCCCACAGCCTCCCATCTCACACACATCATTGACCTCAGGATGGCTTAGGTCAGAGCCCACCTTTAACATCTCACACACATCCTTCCCAGCAGTCTTGAGACATCTTCCAAAAACCGAATCTGTTCCACTGAGTCAACTCTGACTCATGGCGACCCCGTGGGTTACGGAGTGGAACTGCTCCATAGGGTTTTCTTGGCTGTAATCTTTAGCACTCCACTGGGTGGTTCTGAACCACCAACCATTTGCACTGCTCAGGTACCTTTGGAACACCTTCAACTATGCTGAGAAGTTTTGGTTTCCATTCAGTGTGATAATGACCTGTTCTGACCCAGCTTTAACTCCACCTTGGGGGTGTCTGCTCTGGGCCTGGGTGCTGTGTTTAAGGTTCAGGCCCACCCTCCCCAGGTTCAGGTTCCAGCAGAGCTGTGGTGCTGTCACAGTCACCGTGTTGCATAGCCAGGAAGCAGTCGTGAACACCCACTCGTGTGGGCCCCCACACATGCTCGCCGCACTCCCTGGCCCGGCTAGCAGGGGGCCCCCTCTGCCCTGGATGGGTTCTCATGGCAGTGGCTGTCCTGCCCCTAACAGCCTCTTTCCTCCCATTGCAGGAGGCCGCATGTGCTTATGTGCTGATCGTCACCGCCACGTACTGGGTGTCTGAGGCCGTGCCTCTCGGAGCTGCAGCCCTGGTGCCCGCCTTTCTGTACCCGTTCTTCGGAGTCCTTCGGTCCAGTGAGGTTAGAGCCCTGTGGTCTGGCCCCCTAGTGGGTTCCTGCTGGGCCAGAGGAGGAGGGCGCACAGTGAAGGGGGACTCAGGGAGCACTCGATGGGGCTTTACTGACCCTCTGAAAAACCCCTGGGCACTAAGCCTGTGTACCTGCTGCTCCCATCTGTGACCCCCATCTCCCTCAAACTGGTCAAGATGGGCCTCTTGTGTGTGTCTATTTAGGCTCTAAGTGCTCAAAGCTAAGGCAAGAACTGGGCCTTCCTTTCTTTCTAATCTCATCAGAAAGCTGAGCATGTTCACAGTAGGTGCCCAATTAATGTTTATTGACAGAAAGACATCCCACATTTCCCTGAGTCAGCCTCTCTAGAGGACATTTCTGTTCCTTCTTCTTCTCCACGTCTTCCTTGGCTGGGCTCTGCCCTCTGTGGTTCACTCTTTCTCTGTGTCATGCTCAAAAGCTCAAGTGGAAATTGTCAACATGAAGCCCAGCTGTAGCCAGATTTCAGAGCAAACACCTAAGCCCGTGAGACATATGGAAGGACAAGAAGAGCCAGGACCCAAGGCAAGATGAGTGATGGTCCTCATTCATGAATAAACCAAACCAACTGTCGTCATATCACGTCTAGCTCTTGGTGGCCCGTGTATGGCACAGTAGAACTGTGCTCCATAGGGCTTTCAATACGTGGTTCTGTTTGGAGTCCTTTCCTGTTTTCCTGGAGTTTCTGATGAAGAGGATTGAATGGTAGAGGTGGGAGTGAGGTTAGGGACAGAGGCACAGGAGGAGGAGGAAGGACAACTGATGTTTGGGTGTCTGCTAACAACCAGGCCCCTTCCCAGGTGGCATAGTGCCTAAGGCATGTGACTGCTAACCAGAAGGCTGGTGGTTCAAACCCACCAGCCACTCCTCGGAAGGAAGATTGGGTAATCTACTTCCATAGAGATACCGCCTTGGAAACCCAAGGAAGGGTCACTGTGAGCCGAATTGTCTCGATGACAGTGAGTTGGGGTTTTTTGGTTTAGAGCTCCACAGGGTGCGTGTTAACACTTCCACACACATGATATTGTGGTCTTCTAGTACTGATCTAACAGAAAATGCTACAAATGGGATGGCTTTAACAAACAGAGATTTATTCTCTTACTGTTTGGGAGGCTAGAAGTCCGAGTTCAAAGTACCAACCTCTAGGGGCTGGATGAAGGTCCTTTGACCTTGGGCTTCAGCTGTGCCTCTTGCTGCTGGCCCACTGAAGCTGGAGGCTTCCCTTAAGTCAGGCAGGTGCTGGCTGCTGAGGGTGACAAACCCAAAAGCCAACAAGTAAAATAGCACAGTCCCAAGATTATCAAACAACACAGCAACCCACTGGTTCTTCAAGTCCAAAGAGTTCCAGGATTGGCAGGAAACATGGCAGGCTGCTAAATGAAGACTCAGCTACATGGAGGGTCTAAGCATGCCAAAAAGCTGCAGCGATCTTGCTCAAATCTTCTCCTTATGTACTGGAAGCAGACCACGTCCCTAAGGCAGCTACTCAGCTGCTCTAGTAGAATCCACCATGGAGATGATTACCAGTCTCATCATGGGGAATAACTACATCCAGCTGCCCAGCCAGTCAACCAGGCCCAGCCAAGTTGACACACAACCTTAATGACCCCAGATGAGGGAACAGTTGCAGAGAGTTAGGAGATTTACCCAGGATCACAAGGAAGGAAGTGACAGCACTGGATTCAAACCCACATCTATTAGATGTCAAAGTCTAGGCTCTTGCTTACTGTGCCACCCAAACACACTCCATAAAGGACTGTGTGGCTTCATGGTGAGTTCTTACCAAAAAAATGATCAGAGGGACCAGGGGGCACAATTTGCCAGTTGAGGTGAAAAGCCCTAATCCATCTGCCTGATAACGTGGCTTTGTCTGGTGATGGTATTTCACAGTTGGGCCACCAGGAGCCGCTTCGTCCAAATACAGCCTGGCTCCCTGACCTTGTTAGCTCAGATGAGAGAAAAATGCAGTAAGGTCAAGGCTGGGGGTTATATCCCTTTGTGAGCCAGTTAACTTTGAGACAGAAGGTCTGTTCCACATCAGTGCCCATACCCCTGCCCTCAGTCGGTTCAGCCTGGGCTCTGGGTCTCAGGGAAACCTAAGCCAGGCAGATCATTGGTTGTCACTCCCCAAACCCACCTGGTGCTTGTCTATGCCCTTGCTCAGTCAGACCCTTCTTTCACCTTGGAATGTTCTCTCCATTTCTTTCAACTTTTCAACTCCTACCCATCACCCTCTTCAGTGAAGCCTTTCCATAGATCTCAGGTATTAGGTAGGGTTAGTCCCTTCCTTTGAGCTTCTTTAATGATAGAAACTTTTCTTGAATATGTCCTCTCTCCACCGAGATCCACACCCTCTACAATTTCATGTCTTGTGGCCTAGACCCAGCACAGGGCCATCATTGCTCGTGTTGTTGTTGTTAATTGCCACCGAGTCATGGAAGTCTCATGCACCATGGAATGAAGTGCTGGCTGGTCTTGTGGAATCCCAACTATCAGTTGCAGATCAGAAAATGTTCCATTGTGATCCACATGGTTTTCACTGGCTAATTCTCAGAAGTAGATCACCCGGCCTTTCCTTCTAGTCTGTCTTAGTGTGGAAGCTCTACTGAAACCTCTTCAGCATTAGAACAACATGCAAGTTTCCACTGACAGACACGTGGTGGCTGCACATTGGTACATTGGCTGGGAACAAGCCGAGGTCTCCTGCATGGAGGTGAGAATCTCCCATTGAACCACCAGTGCTTCTCCTTGCGTCTGTTGTTGTTGTCTTGTGCCACTGAGTTGATTTCAACTCATGGTGAACCCAACTCATGGTAGAACTGCTCCATTGGGTTTTCTTGGCTATAATCTTTATGGAAGAACCCAGGACTTTTCTTCTACAGTGCTGCTGGGTGGGTTCAAACCTCCAACCTTTCAGTTCCCAGGCAAGTGCAAACCCAGTGAATGTTTCTTGATTGATATGCTTCTTGATGTTGCATCAATAGTTTAATCTCCATATGAAGCAAGGCCTGCAAATAAGATCCGTGTGACTCTGGACACTAGGGCTTTTGTTCCTGGTAGTAATTCACTGAACATTCAGAAAGATGTCTACCATGTGTGGCATGGATGTTAATGGACCCTGAGGATGACAAGAATGAAAAAATTTGATCCCTGCCCTCTTGAATCTCATAGCTGACCCTTTTGAGTTCCCCACTGCCAGCCAGATATGTCCACATAACTGATTAATTTTTAGGGTGATGACTTTTTAGCCAACAGGTATTAAGAGGTGGTTCAAACCCACCAGCCACTCCTCAGAAGAAAGTTTGGGCAATCTGCTTCTGTAGAGATACCACCTTGGAAACCCAAGGAGGGGTCGCTATGAGTCCAGTTGACTCAGTGGCAGTGAATTTGGTTTTTTGGAGTCAGTTTGGACTGCCTCTTTTCAGTGCAGCTCAGGAGCTGAGGAGTGACATGAAATCATAGAGATGGGAAGCATCTGTTCTAGTAGAGATAAAGTGTAATCCAGATGGAAAAATATAGAAGGGCCTGTTTAGTAATGCCTTATCTCCTGGCACCATGGAGGATTTACACAATTCCCTACACAGGAATGTTCCGGAAGTTTACTCTGTCAAGTGCCCAAATTTTATGTTGGCTAATTTTGATTGAAAGAAGAATGGGAATTCCAGAACACTTAATTGTGCTGCTAAAAGGGCAAGGAGGCCACATCTTCTGACCTCCTCTAACCACACAAGAGGAAGACAGATCACCATCAATAGCTCAAGGCCTATTCCTGCAAGGCCAGACATGCTGCCTCCCTCCAGCCCTTTCACCAACCCTGACACCAACCGTTCCTCCCGCAGCACTCACCACCTTTCTGCTGGGTTCGATAATTCACTGCAGTGGCCACACAGAACTCACAGATTATGAGGTTTATTAGGGAAGCACCAGGTTACAATTCAAGTTCAGGAACAACTCTCAGTCTCTCTCAACCCGCCATCTCTCAGCCAACAGTCTCTCACAGTCTCTCTCCCAGCAGTGCATGTCCCTCGGTGTCTCTCTCAGCAATGTGTGTCTCTTGCATCTCTTTCCCAGCAGTGCATGTCTCTCAGGAGCACGTTTCTCTCAGCAGCATGTTCTTCTCTGCTAGCAGTCAGAGAGAACTCTTCTACCTCTAGGAGGCTGCCTTTTGAGCCTGGCAGAATGGCCAAACTAGCCAATCATAACATCAGAATTCTAAGTACCTGAGAGAGAGTGAATTTCCCAGAACATTACTTTGTGCTGCTCCCAACAGAAATACCCAGGTGGATGATTTTAACAATCAGGAGCTACTCAGTTTCTCACAGCAAATTCTACCATGGAGTTTACAAAGACTTGTGGCTATAAAAGCCATCCCAGGTAATTTACTACCATGCATGTGCTCATGAGGAACTTGGAGTCTGTTGTTTGAACAGAACAAGGGGATACTGCATGGTTTAGAATCAGGAAGAGAGTGTGTCAGGGTTGTATCATTTTACCATACTTACTCAATCTGTATACTAAGCAAATAATCCAAGAAGCTGGACTATATGAAGAAGAACGGAACATTAGGATTGGAGGAAGACTCGTTAACAACTTGTGATATGCAGATGATACAACCTTGCTTGCTGAAAGTGAAGATGACATGAAGCACTTCCTGATGAAGGTTAAAGACTAAAGTTTGCAGTATGGGTTACACCTCAAAATGAAAATCCTCACAACTGGACCAATAAGCAACATCACAATAAATGAAGAGAAGATTGAAGTTGTCAAAGATTTCATATTACTTGGTTCTACAGTCAACACCCATGGAAGCAGCAGTCAAGACATCAGATGACGTACTGCACTGGGCAAATCTGCTTCAAAAGACCTCTTTAAAGTGCTGAAGAGCAAAGACGTCTCTTTGAAGATGAAGGTGCACCTAACTTGAGCCATGGTATTTTCAGTCCCCTCATATGTGTGTGAAAGCTGGGCAATGA